CAGTCCCAAACAGCATCCCACTAATTAGTCACTTTGATTCTCCTGACACCCTTCTACATTTGCTCTGTCTTCTGACGAAGTAGCAAACAACAGCAAAAACCTATTGTACATTTGCTGTTTAGTAACTGGAACTACTGTAATTTTTTTCTGGCAAGAATTCAATGCCAGTGTTGCATTCTCCCAATAATCCCTAAAGTTTGTCAGAGGTTGTCACTGACATTCCTCATGTGGATGTCCGTGAGCTCGATTAGGCCAACCCCAGCTGGTATGTGTGACCTATTACTAAAAGGTTGTGTTTTGGAATTTACACATGAAGGTTCTGCACTGGTAGTGTTTTCGGGAAGTTGTGATGCAGTGTTCTCCCTTCCCCTATACTCTACCCTGGTGATGTCTGTGTTCAGGCTCCAGATCTCTACAATACAATTTAGAATGGTGTTTTTCTGAATACGACACAGGGCACATTCATTTGGGTGGGGCCACACAATTACTTGTCTGCTGAGATTTATCTAGAGTGGCACCTACAAGCCTTCTCTCTTTATCAACAGCGTATGAAAAGTATTGTCATATTCTAATCACATTCCCTGTCTGATACACCTTGAAGACTTATAACCCATTTTGATTTGGTGTTATGATTGGATTAATGATACCATCCCCACAGCCATTCCTGGAATCCCCTCACAATTGTCATTAAACCAGACCTTGGTCAGTTTCCATAATTTACAATTTGAAATATTGGGGTATGTCTTCCCATGAAACAAGTGCTCTATCTGCTCGGCCCTGATCCAGGACAGGACCTGGCCTCTCCTAGCCTGCATAAAGTTCTTCCTAAACTGTTCGATCGTCCACTGGCCATAGATGCTGCACAGGCTCTTATTTCGCTGCCTAGTGTCATTGTTTGTCTTTCCGCGGATGATCTTGTTTATGGTCCTGCCATTGGGCCTCCTCCAGTGTCACAATAATGCCACCCGCAAACTGGAAGAGCAGCATATTCTGCCTCAGGAGTCTACAGACCAATGTGCTAAACATGGACTTCACCAGTTTTAAAATCTCCCCACCCCCAACCTCATCCCATGGCCAACCTTCCCTCTCATCCCCACCTCCTTGACTTGACACAACCTGTCTGTCTTCTCTCCCACCCAGCCGCCCCTCCCGCCTCACTGACCAATCCCCACCACTCCCTACCTGCACTGACCTATCATCATCCCACCTACCTTCCCCAGACCCACCTCCCTTCTCTCTGTTTATTTCTGAGCTCCCTTCCCCCTCCCCATTTCTGAAGGGTCCCAACCTGATACGTCAGCTTTCCTGCTCCTCTGATGCTGCTTGGCCTGCTGTGTTCATCCAGCTCTACACCTTGTTATAACAGACAAATTAACCTTTGATTTGAGTAAGGTAAAGATGAGACGATGAGAAATGCCCAAAAGACGTAAATGCTAAAGGTGGCTACCTATCATACTCTATGGTGCTGTAGCCCTGTACGACCAGGACAAATTAGCAGATTTGGGCCATAGTGGGAGCTGAGGTTTATGACGATGTTCTATGAGCAGAATGGATTAGCGGAAATCCACAATTGGGGTGTAATGGTGTTGGTATGTATGTGGTGGTAGGGTTCCTCCATCATGTCTTGGTGGGAGCATTGGAACGAGTGCCTTCAGAAAGGGATTCTCTCTGTCTCTGAGCCAGAGCACCGCCTAGGACACTTTGTTGGGGGAAAGTTTCTAACCACCCCTTTCACTTCAGGGCTGCTGCACACCAAGCGCTGCTTCTTCTGACCGGCAGTGGTACAGCCAGCTATAATTCAAATCCTGAGGTTAAGGCCTCAGGAGGGACAGTGTCCAGAGCTGGTCCAGAACGCTGGCCTGGATTGGGATCAGGAATCTGCATTGGGTCTGGATCAACTACTGGTCTAGGATCTGACCGATCAGGGCTTGGGTTAAGCCCTGCCCTTGTTTGTTTTACCAAAATGCAATACCTTGCATTTATCCAAATTAAACTCCACATTCCCCCAGTTCCCCTGGAAGCATGTGGAGTTATAGGGTCATTTGGCATGGAAACAGACCCTTCAGTCCAAATATTCCATGCTGATCATATTCTCAAACTAAACTAGTCTCAACTCCCTGCTTTTGGCTCATATCCCTCCAAACCTTTCCTACTAATGAACTTATCCAAATGTCTGATAAACATTGTAATTGTACCTGCATCCACCAGCTCCTTTGGCAGTTCAAACCACACACAAACAACTCTGGTGGGAAAAAACGTTGCCTCTCATGTCCATTTTAAATCTTTCCCCTCTCACCTTAAAAATATGGCCCCTAATTTTAAACTCCCCCAACTTAGGGAAAAGACCTTTGCTGTTCACCTTATCTATGCCCTCCATGATTTTATAAATCTCTATAAAGTCACCACTCAACCTCCAGTGAAAGAAGTCCCAGCCTATCCAGTCTCTCCTTTAAACTCAAACCCTCCATTCCCGCCAATATTCTGGTAAATCTTTTCTAAGCCCTCTCTAGTTTATAATATCCTTAATATAACAGGGTGACCAGAACAGCACACAATAATCCAGAAGAGGCGTCGCCAATGTCCTGTACAACCTCAACATGACTTCCCAATTCCTATACTCAAAGGTCCGAGCAATGAAAGCAAGCATGCTAAATGCCTTCTTCATCACCCTGTCTACGTGTGATGCAAATTTCGAAAAATTATGAACCCCTAGGTCTCTGTCCTACAACACGGCCCAGGACCCAAACATTAATTGTATAAGCCCTGCCCTTGTTTGTTTTACCAAAATGCAACAGCTTACATTTACCCAAATTAAACTCCATCTGCCACTCCTCAGTCCACTGACCGAAGTGATCAAGGTCTCTTTGTAATCTTAGATAACCATCTTCACTTGCTGACTGTTGCTTTGCGCTCTGTAGACCTTTAACTGATTAACATGACACCACCCAATTTTTCCTGTACCCGGTAAAATCCTGCACATGGACAGGCTGGTCCTGTCCAACACTGAGTAGGGGTCTCAATAACTGGGGGACAGGATGTTCCTGGCTAGAAAATGTTACATCATACACTGCCTACCTCGTACTGTACTGGGACCACCTTCCCATCAAAGCACGACTTGCTCCACTTTCTCCTTTGTGTCATTCTGATGGCCTCTGCTTTGTGTGCAGCCTGTACATTTTCTCATGGCAGAGGGCTTCCACCTCAGGCTCTGTCAAGTCTGTCTTATTAAGGGTTTGATACCTCTCATGGTGTATCCGTTCATTAGAATGTGGGGGGTGAATCCAGTTGAACTGGAGGGTGAGTTCCTTATGAGCACGAGGACAAAGAGTAAAGCCATATTCCATGTTGTGTTGCTGGACGATCTTTCGCAGCATCCCTTTCAGGGTATGATTCATCCTCTGTACAAACCCGCTGGATTGATGATGGTAGGTGATGCTGCAACTTTAGCAGTGCTCATTCGAGTGGGGAATGCATCTAGCCATTTGTTCATAATATCCACAATGACCAGAAAATACTTATTATTATTAGAGGGTGGTAAGGATGGACGTAGTATATTTGAAAGTCAGTCCATGGTCCTGCAACTGGCCTAGTATACCTTAACTCTCCTTTATTGGCATAGTAGTCTGGATTATTCTGGCCACTGAGGGTGGTGGAGACAGGTACTCTTGCAACATTTAAGGAGCATCTGAATGAGCACTTAAAATGCCAGGTGGATCAACTGCAGATAAATGGGATTAGTGTAGTTTGGTGTTTGTTGGTTGGCACAGACATGGTGGGCTGAAGGACCTGTTTCTGTGCTGTATGACACTATTTATAAGCACTAGCCGTATTAAGGTCACTCTGGTGATTTCTTATGCATGCATTATTTCATCATCAAGACAATGACCAAAGAGAAAACTAATGTTTCTACCCACTCAAAGTCCACCAATTCCATCTAACAAAGTGGCTTAGAAATCTTTCTAGTCTTTACAGATCATACTATAAAGAATCAATGTCTCAAAAAAAATTCAAAGCTATTAATCTTCAGTCACTCTCATTCCTGGGGTTCCTTTCCCAAAGGATAGAATTGAAAAGCAGGGAGGTCACGTTACTATGTTTAGAACCAAGGTCAGATTACACCAGGAGCACTATCAACCTTTGTGATTTCCATCTAAAGAAAGAAACTGAGGCAGCAGAGGATCTGCATCAAGGATTTACAAGCATGATACTAGAACCTCAAACACTTAATGTTCAGGAAACACTGGGACAATTCTCTGTAGAAAAGAGATAATTAAAGGATAACCTGATCAAGGTTTTTTAAAAAGATTACAAAGCGGCTCAATAAACCAAACAGATTTCGTGAGAAACAAAAATAGAAGTTGCTGGAAAAGCTCAGTAGGTCTGGCAGCATCTGTGGAGAGAAATCAGAGTTAACGTTTCTGGTCGAGTGACCCTTCCTCAGAACTGCCAGACCTGCTGTGCTTTTCCACCAATTTCTGTTTTTGCTTCTGATTTACAGCATCCACAGTTCTTCAGATTTCAGGAGAAACCTTCTTCCCCAATAATGTGGAACTCGCTCCAAAGGTGAATGGTTGAAGAAAGAGCATTTAAGGGGAAGGTGGCAGGAGAATGAAAGGAATGGAAAATATGATAATGGCAGGAAATGAAGAAGGGTGGGTGGAGGCACAAACACTGACAGATTGATTAAGCTGAGTGGTGTAACTGTGGGCTGTAGAGTCAAAGGAAGAAAGACAAATTATTTGTTTCAGATCTATTGGATGTGGTAGGAAAAACATTACAGGAAAAGACATGCAACTCAGAATAAATGTACTTCATCAGATTTTGCAGATCATTTCACTGTAAATGGAAATTCCCAGGTTCAAAGGGAAACAGCATTTTGAGGTCAGCCAGTCGAGCAGAAAGAAACCCTCTAACCCTTCCACTTCTCCAAACAGAATGAGCATGGTTCAGTCCAGGATATGATTACCAGCAGCAATAACAACAGAATCCAACTCCTGTAATCACTTGTGAACCCGTTGGAGTGTCTGCAAGTTCGATGACTGTGAGAATCCTTTTCCACACATAGAGCAGGTGAATGGTCTCTCCCCAGTGTGAACTCGCTGGTGTCTCAGCAGACAGGATGACTGAGTGAATCCCTTTCCACACTCGAAGCATGTGAACGGCCTCTCTCCAGCGTGAATTCGTTTATGCTTTAGCAGGTGGGTTGATCTAGTGAATCCTTTCCTACACAAAGAGCAGTGGAATGGCCTCTCTCTGGTATGGACACGCTGATGTGTCTGCAGGCTGGATGATTGAGTGAATCCCTTCCCACACACGGAGCAGGTGAAAGGCCTCTCCCCGGTGTGAACTCGCTGGTGTGTCAGCAAGGTGGACGAATCAATGAATCCCTTCCCACACTCAGGACAGCTGAATGGCCTCTCCCCAGAGTGAACTCGCTGGTGTAACAGCAAGTGTGTTGACTGAGTAAATGCCTTACCACACACACAGCAAGTAAACCTCCTCGCCCCATTGTGAACTCGCTGGTGTGTCATCAGATGAGATGACTGAGTGAAAGCCTTACCACACTTGGAGCAAGTGAATGGCCTCTCCCCAGTGTGCACTCGCAGGTGTTTCTGCAAGGTGGATGAATGACTGAATTTGACCCCACACTTGAAGCAGGTGAATGGCCGCTCGCCGGTGTGAACCCGCTGGTGTCTCAGCAGGTGGGATGAATCACTAAATCCCCTCCCGCACTGAGAGGAGCAGAATGGCCTCTCCTCACTGTGAAGTAACTGGTGTCTCAGCAGATGGGATGACTGAGTGAATCCCTTCCCACATTTGGAGCAAGCGAATGGCCTCTCCCCAGTGTGAAAGCGTTGGTGAGATTCCAGCTCAGATGGTGAACGGAATCCTTTCCCACAATCCCCACATTTCCACTGTTTCTCCATGATGTCAGCGTTCTTCTGACTCTCCAGGTTTCACCAGTTGAAGCCTCAATCACCCACTGAATGCATTTACAGTTCACCCTGCTGTATATGATACAATCCCCATGAACGCTCTTTCCACAGTCAGTGCCCTGGAATACTTTCTCTCAGAACCATTGTATTGTGGTGTTTTCCAGTCAATTTGTTTAAAATATTTTTGAAGTGGACATAACAGACAAACATTTCTCCTTCTAGATTCAAAAGTTGGAGATATTCAGGTCATGGTAAATTGACAGGCTCTGTCAGATCTTGAGGTGATGTTTGGATTGAGATTTATGTTTGCAAATCCTGGCCTCCCAAGCCTGGAAAAGGTGTTTACAAAAGTCATCACTCAGTATGGAATAGAAATACAGAACAGACAAGCCTAGGTTATACAGAACATTCTTGGCTCCTTTATTCCCCAGAACTGTAAATCTCTATTCCACACATATACCCTCCATTCTCACTCTAATATAAGCACTTCCAATTCTCCTGAAGCTGCAGCCAAATTCATGCTCACTGCTGTCCAGATTACAAAGAGTTGAAAATCGTCATGCAGGCACTTAATTAGAGAGAGAAAGATGTGAGGAAGAACTTTACTTAGGCAGTGAATGGTCAAAATCTGGACTCTTTGCCTATCAGCCTGGTTGAAATAGGGATGCGCAATGATTTCAAAATGAAATGGAGTGGGGAAATTAAACAATATAAACTTGAAAGGCAGCAGAGATATAGAGGGGTATTGGACTGACTGGATTGTAGAACAGTGTTAGCATGGACTTATGTTGCTGAATGGATTCTCAGTGTGTTCTGTAATTACTTCCAAGAGTGAAAATTTATCATGTAACTACAGTACACTATTACAAGGCTAGAAACAATTAATTTAGTTTATCTTTGCCATATCCATAAATATCTAATGTGTATAAAATAACAAACATATTTATGATATAACAAGGTGTAGAGCTGGACAAGCTCTACACCTTGTTATCTCAGAATCTCCAGCATTGGCAGTCCCCACTATCTTTGAATCAAACATATTTATGTCCTATATTACTGCACTATCAATTATTGGCTATCTGCTGGGAGAAAACACTCCTTTAATTGTGAGCATTACGAATGAGGCCAATCTTTTAGCCAGTCGAATAACGTGTCAGTAAAATAAAACAAAGAACTGCGGATGCTGGAGATCTGAAACAAAAAGAGAAATTGCTGGAGAAAGTCAGCCTTTAAAACTAGACTTTGACCAGAGAGTAGTAAGGGCGTGGAATGCCCTGCCTGCAAAAAACTCGCCCACTTTAAGGGCATTTAAATGGTCATTGGATAAACATATGGATGATAATGGAATAGTTTAGGTTAGATGGGCTTCAGATTGGTTTCACAGGTCGGCGCAACATCGAGGGCCGAAGGGCCTGTACTGCGCTGTAATGTTCTATGTTCTATGTAGAATGAGAAACATACGCCAACGTTATCAAACCTATACCCTCCCTGGATTCGTCTATCCTTCAATAAACATTTTAATCCAAATTTCAGGACAGCTGGGAAGAAGGTGTAAGTGTTAAATTCACAGATGTCAGCCTGAGGAGAGCGTTTCATTCAGTGTGAACACAGCTGCGGCTGAGGGAGAGGCAGCGCAGGCTGTGGATTGGCTGGAGGACCATAGCGACTTCCGGTCCTCCAGCCCTTCCTATTGGTCATGAAGGCGACGCTGGTGCAATGCGTGAGACTTTGGCGGGGGTGGAATGGGATCCGGCGCTGACGCCGTTGGGATACTGGAGGACCAGTAGCTACGGCGCCAGCCCCGCCCCCTCGGCGTCGTGCACATGCGCAGCTCCGGCCGTTGGTGTTGGTGTTGCGGCTGAGGCGCGCTAATGCCGGTGGGGAGAGGGGCGCCGAAAGCGGGAGCAGGAGAGAGGCGGTAGGCCTGATCCGGCAGTGTATGAGGTAGCGGGGTGGGAGAGAGAAAGATAAGGGGAGTGAGTCAAGGGGAAACTGTTTGTGAGGTGGGGTGACGAGACGAGAGCGGGGTTTGGGGGGTGTGGTGATGGGATAGAGGGGGCAAGAAGGTGTGACACAGCTCCATCCTAGTGACAGGACTGTCCCTGATAGCATTATCCCTGTGTCCATTCACCTGGCCGCACAGAATGTGGCCAATCAGCCCATCGAACTTGTATTTGAACTTTCAGCACCCAGATCAATTAATCCCACTACCCCCGCCCCCCAACTCTATTATTTCCCCTCCAGTACATGTCCAATCCCCTTTTGAAAGCCCCTCTTGATTTTGTTTCTCCATCCATGAGGTCCATTAGGGTTTGGCAACAGATCCTGAGATTGCTAGTGAAGCCCTCAACACTGAAAGAATAAAAATAATCATTGATAGTTACACCCAGCAATAGAGCAGGGAGGAATAATGGAGAGTCATGGAGTAATACAGCATGGAAACAGGCCCTATGGCCCAAACTGGTCCATGCTGACCATTGTGTCCACTCAGCTAGTTCCATTTGCCTGCACTTGGTCCATGCCCTTCTAAACCCTTTTCATCCATGTACCTATCCAAAAGTTTTTTAAAATGTTGTTATTGTACCTGCCTCAACCATTTTCTTTGGCAGCCCATTCCATATAAGCACCACTCTCTGCGTGAAGAAGTTGCCCCTCAGATCCTTACATCTTTCCTGTCTCACCTTATCTGATGCCATCTAGTTTTCAATTCCTCATTCCTGGGAAAAACATATTCATCCTATCTATGCTCCTCATGATTTTATGCACCTCAATAAGGTCACCCCTCATTCTCCTACGTTCCAAGGAATAAAGTCCTATCCTGGCCAACCTTACCCTATAACTCAGGCCTACTTGCCTGGCAACATCCTCGTAAATCATCTTTGCACACTTTCCAGTTTAACTATGTCTTTCCTATAACAGGGTGAACAAAACTGTACTCAACACTTAACAGTGAATTGTCATTTCCCAGAGAAGAGTGCTTGGAATGGAGGATTTACAGCTCTGATGGAACAAGAGAAAACTTGTTCTACGCAGACTGCTGTTTTCTGTTCTGAATTTCTATCCTGTACCCATCGTTGACTCTTGTAAACTCTTTTCCCAGGGTAATAGAAGAGGAGGATTGAAGAGAGGAAACTTGAAACAAATCTGACATCAAAATCTGATACCGTCATTCAGTTCATCAGGACCTGAATATCATCAGCCTTTAAATATAGAGAAAAGAGTGTGTGTCTGTTCTGACTGCAGTAAAAAGATTACAGACCTCAGTGAGATTGCAAAAGCACTGATATACAAGTCCAAGATATGGTGTTCTAGTGCCTTGCATGTGGAAAGAGCTTTAACTAGTTACCCAGCCTGGGAAAAGGGACCATTTACAGTGGGAGACATAGTACATGGGTGTCTGGGCAAAACTCCAGCTGTTCACCTGCACCAGGGCATTGCGCCATGGAGAAACCATGGAAATGTAGAGACTGCGGGAAAGGATTCCGCTCACCATCTGAGCTGGAAACCCACCGACGTGTTCACAATGGGGAGAAGCCATTCATCTGTACTGAGTGTGGGAAGCAATTCACTCAGTCATCCCATTTACTGTTACACCAGCGAGTCCACACTGGAGAGAGGCCATTCTCCTGCTCAGAGTGTGGGAATGGTTTCAGTGATTCATCCACCCTGAGGAAGCACCAGCGAGTCCACACTGGGGAACGGCCATTCACCTGCTCCATGTGTGGCAAGGGATTCACTCAGTCCTCCAGCCTACTGAGACACCATTTCAGTCACACAAATGAGAGACCTTTCAAATGTGATAATTGTGGGAATGGCTTTAAAAGCTCTCAGGTACTTATGGTCCACCAGCGCATCCACACTGGTGAGAGACCGTTCAGCTGCTCTTACTGTGCCAAGAGGTTCAGAAAGTCATCCAACCTGCTGGCACACCAGCGAGTTCACACTGGGGAGAGGCCATTCATCTGCTCCGTGTGTGAGAAGGGATTCACCCGGGCATCTCACCTGCAGACACACCAGCGAGTTCACACTGGGGAAAGGCCATTTACTTGCTCTCTGTGTGGAAAGGGATTCACTCAGTCATCCAGCCTACAGACACACCAGCGAGTTCACAAGTGATTACAGGAGTTGGATTCTGTTGTTATTGCTGCTGCTAATCACATCCTGGACTGAACCATGTTCATTCTGGAAGGGTTAAAGGGTTTCTTTCTGCTCGACTGGCTGACCTCAGGATATTGTTTCCAGTGGACTGATGCTGTTTGACTTGGGAGTGTCCATTTGCACTGAAATCATCCAGAAAAGCTGTGAATGTATTCTAAGCTGTGTGTGTTTTCCTGCCACACCAGGTAGATGTGAAACAAATAAATCTGTCTCTATTAGCTCGGCAGCACATGACCAGACCAGTTGGCTTAATTGTTCCATGTCAGTGTTTATGCTGCACATAAGCCTGCACCCATCCCTCCTCTTCTTCCTCCATCAGCATATCGTAATATTCCTCTCTCTGTCTCACTCTCGTGCTCCCTCTCTCCTGTAAGACATTCCTCTTAAATACTTTCAACAACTCACCTTTGTAGTGAGCTCCACATTTTCACCACTCAGTTGTGAAAGATGCTTCTTGAGAAATCTCTAATAGATCATTGTTCTAGAGTGCATAAAGAATCGGCTAAAGATTTTAGATAGTTTAAGTGAATGGGCAAAAAATTTAGATGATCTTTAATATGGAAAAATGGGAACTTGTACATTCTGATGAGAAGAATAGAAAAACAGCATTAGTTAAATGAGGAGAGATTGCAGAACTAAGGAACAGAGGGCCTGGGTATCCCGGTACATGAATCGCAAAACTGCACTGTGCCAATACAGCAAGTGATTAGGAAGCAAATTGAATGTTGCTGCTTATTGCAAGGACAATAGAATGTAAAGTCTGGAAAGTTTACTACAGTTGTAAAGGGATTGATGAAACCACATCAGGAGTAATGTGTACAGTTTGGTCTCCTTGTTTAAGTAGAGTTACAAATGTGTTAAAGTAGTTCTGAGAAGATCTACTCAGCAGATTCCTGGCACAGAGAAGGTTATTTTATGACGACAGGTTGGACAGACTGGGCTGCATTTACTGGAGTTTAGAAAAGAGGTAACTTTATTGAAAAAGATCCTGAAGGGACTTGAATGTGAATGCTGAAAGGATGTTTCCCTGAGGGAGACTAGAACTAGGGAACAAAGTTCAAAAATGAGCCTTCCATCTACGATGACGATGAGAATTATGTTTTTCTGAGAATCGGGACTCTGAAAGTCTCTCCCCCTGACAGCATCGAAGGCGGGGTCATTGAATATTTTTAAGGTGGTGTCAGATTATTGACGAAGGAGGGAGTCAGAGTTTATTAGGTGTGTGGAGGAATGCATGACTGAGCCACAGTCAGATCAGCCACGATATTACTGAATGGCAGAGCAGGCTCAAGGGTCTGAGAAGCGTACTCCTCCTAATTCATAAAAATAAAAAAGAAAACTGCGGATGCTGAAGAAGTGGCACTGGACCTGAAACGTTAACACTCTTTCTCTTCACAGATACTGTCAGACCTGCTGTGTTTTCCCAGCAATTTATGTTTCCTCCTAATTGATGTGTGTTTGTTTGCTAGCCATGTTAGCCCTCCTCGCTGCATCCTCAGAAAATTCAATCACATTAATCAGATATGACTTCCCTTATCACATCCATGTTGACTGTCCTTGATTAATCCATGCCTTTTTAAATGGCAATTTTTACTGACAGTAATAAGGCTTGAGCGAGACCCTACTTCTTAGGATCCTATTAGCAGAATTAAGTGCTAAATACCTAGGAGTCAAAAGTAGTAAGAAAAATGCGTGTTAGAAATTAATTAGTTAATTGTACAATGGGGTCTTTGAAGGCTTTTGTGGTGCAGTGGTAGTGTCCCTACCCCTGGATCAGTGTCTGGATTCAAGTCCCAGCTGAACCAGAGATGTCATAACGTGCATGAACAGGTTAATTAAACATTTTCAATAATTATTTTAAAGGACCCCGTATCCCAGGGGTAGTGTTCCCACCTCATCCAGAAGGTTCTGGTTCAAGTCCCACTTGTGCCAGAACATATGAGTAGTTTGATTAAAATTATTAAAATGTATATGAAGAAGGGCAAGTCAGGAGGAGTGCAGAGTTTTGTGATATGTAAGTAGAAATAAAACTGTGACCTAACAAGTATATGTCTAGACTATATCTAACCATTTAACCTCTGATATATATCAACACTTTGTGAACTGAGAGAAAGGTAGTGAGGAGGAGAGAGACAGAGACCCCAGTCTCTCAGAGACTAAAGGTAGATAATCAAATTGAGTCCAGAAACACGTTTATTAACAGTAAATGCTGTTAACAGACTCAATTGAGTCAATTAAGGGTCAAAATAACTATCACAATAACCAAGCATCACTTAGGTCTGCTTAACACAGCCTGGGGTGGATTGGATAAGAGATATCACTCTAAAAATGGTGGTTAGAGAAGGGGACTTAGAGCAGTCACTGATGTGTAGAAAGTGGTCAGCACCCTCACAGGAAGAGAGGAAAGCAATCGACTAGAGTAACAAGGAAAGGAACAGCGAGAACTTGTGTTTCTTTATCATTATCCAATCCTCGGTATATTCCAAAGCACCAGTGAAGCATGAACTCTAATGGTCATCTTATGAGAAAGACAGCAAGTAATTTGCACACAGCGAGATCCCACAAACAGCACGGTGATAACAAAAGGGCAGGTTAACTTGTTATTCCAAAGGCAGCGCTGGACTCCCTCAGTATTGTACTTGGGTCAGCCTAGATATTTGCTCAAATGCCCGGAGTGGGACTTGAACCTACAGGTTTTGATTCAGGAGCAAAAGTGCTGACCACAGCCATAACTAGCACTCTGGTTTTGACCAGCCAAGAGTTGTTTTCAATGTGTATCTTCTGAGTGACCAAACTAGTGTCTGAAATCAAGAGGACTTGTATCTAACTATCCAGTTTGCATTTAGTTAGTTTGCATTTCAACTGTGATGTGGTATGGTTTAACAAAGACCCGGTAAAGAGCTGAGGTGGTGATTGTGTGAGGACAGACCAGCTCAGCATAATGTGACTGGCTCTTTCCAGTCCAGGCTGATTATGATCACATGGAATCAGACAGAGCTCCACACTCACTGCACTGGAACAAGAGAATGTGACAGACCGAACAGTCCAGTAAACTAATCTACTGCACAGTTACCCAGCACACTCAAACAGTGAATATTGTGCGAAAAAGAAAGTCACTCAACGTTGAGTCTAGACTGGAATCCATTCTGACCAGTGATGATGCGCAATTGAGTGCAATATTTTAGGTTAAGTGACTTTGGTTTATGGGTTTCTGTAAATTTGTTTTGCCTTTGTTTAGAGTGATGCTAGTAAAAGCAGGTTACCAATAATACTGATGTGAATGTTGGAGAGGTTATCGAAAGTATTTGCCATGGTTAAAAGGTTGTCCAGTGGTTTGAAGCTGGCCTCACTTTCCTCTTAGTCGTTCATTCTAATTCGTTTACTGCAAAGAATGTTGATTTAAAGTTAGAAATCAGAGAGCTGTCCCAAATATTTAAGATGGAGAAAAAGGAGTCGATGGGTGCGGAGAGGGGGAGAATGGGTAGGGCGATTGCAGTCTGGGAGAGTGTAGAGCAAGTATCTGTGGGGAGGGAGAGTGCTCAGAGTGGGTCTGCGGCAGTGATGAGTACAGAAAGAGGCAGAGCAATCCCCTCTGACCCCTGTAGTATTGGGACTTGGGAGCAATTCCCCAGCATAGGTGAACCCTCACTGTCCTATGATCTGGCCAAGGCTGGACCACACTCCCCAGCTGACCAGCTCCATTGCCTGGAAGCTAGGCCAGCTGTAGGTATCTGGTACTTTGGTGGAGGATCCTCTGGAGATCAAGGTCAGCCTCCTGCAGTCTCTAAGCTCTCAGTGCAGGCTGATCCCATGGGAGTGCTCACGTGCCAGTTTCTGGGGAACAGTCATGCCATTACTGAAAGAGCAGACTGTTTGAAGAGTGAGTGGGCTCCTAATCCACTCCAAGACCCCATTCCTCTGAGATCAGAAGCTAAGACCCAGAGAATATTCTGGAAGCAGCCGGGTAGTAACTTGTGTTTCCACAGCACCTTCTTGAGACAATGGTTACCAGTCAGACACTCTGGGTCAGAGCCGGGGAGGCATTGCCCCCCTTGTTCCTCTGCCTGCGACCTGAACAATTGTGTTGACCCCAGCCTAAAGCAGCAAAAGGCTGACACCGTGGATGGGCAAATCATTAGCCAGCTCCAGCGGATAAGTGTGGAGGACTCAGTGCCGCCTTTCAATACAGAGATGGATGCAGAGGAGGTGAGACTGAGAACCTACCAGAACTGGCCGGCTGGTATCCCGATCCAACCACAGCAACTGGCCCATGCTGGTTTCTTCTACACTGGTAAGGCTCAATACCTCTTTGTGTTCGTGATGGTGGATGGGCAGATACAGAGAAGGACTGCAATACTAAACAGCAAAGTGCAGAAAACTGTTAATGATTTTGCAGAATTAATGTGTAATTATCAGATGAACCTAGATATCTGTGTAGCCTCCAGCTCCACACTGTGTTATCTCTGACTCCAGCATCTGCAGTTTTGACTGTCCTAGATTTTAATAGGAAGGATTTTTTTCCCCACTTGTGAGACGTGGGTGGACTAGCACTTATTGCCCATCCTTAGTAGTTCCTGAAAAGCGGGTGGTGATCTGCCTTGAAACCACTGTGGGTTGACCCACAGTGCTGTTAGGGGAAAAAGTTCCAGGAATTTGACCCAGTGACACTGAAGGAACAGTGATATATTTCCAAATCAATATGGTGAGTGAATTGGAGAGGCACTTGCGGGTGGTGGTGTTCCCATGTATCTATATAAGGATATGCACTTTGGCTGTGGGGTTGCTGGTGAGAAGAAAAGCTGTAGAGCGCAGGAAGATATCAGTAAACTGGTCAGGTGGACAGAGAAGTGGCAAATGGAATTCAGCCTGGAGAAATGTAAGGTGATGCATTTGGAGAGGACAATCTTGGCAAAGGAATACACAAGTGGGAGAATACGAAGAGGTGTAATGGTTCAGAGGGACTTTGAAATGTATCCTCGTTGATACCAGGTGGATGAGCTGGTTAAGATGAAACTGGATGCTTTCTCCCATCAGACAAAGCACACCATAAGAGCAGGGAATTAATGCTGATTAGTGATCCTGCATATAGTTCAGGTTCCACATTACAGGAAAGATGTGATTGTATTAGAGAAGGTGCAGAGGAGATTTTGGAGGATGTTGCCAGGCATAGAGAAATTTTAGCCAAGAGTGAAAATGAGACGGGCTGAGGTTATTTTCTTTGGTACAAAGGAAGCTAGTGGACATTTAATTGAGGTGTATTGTAGTGGGCCTGGACAGGTTTTCTCCTCTCCACTCTTAACAGGTCAATACCTGTGGAGCATAGATTTAAGGAACCAAAACAGAAATTTTTGGAAAGTCTCAACACTCTGCAGCATTTGTGGTGAGAAATCAGATTTGATGTTTTGGGTCCAGTGACCCTCCCTCGGAATGGTTCTGAAGAAGGGTCATTGGACCTGAAACGTTAACTCTGATTTCTCACCACAGATGCTGCTAGACCTGCTGAACCTTTTCAACAATTTCTTTTTTTTTCTGATTTCTGGCATCCACAGTTCTTTTGGTTTTTATAGATTTAAGGTAGTTAACAGAAGCTTAGAGGAGAGTTAATAAAGAATTTTGGGGGGTCTGAAAGTCACTGCCCAAAAAGGTAGTAGAGATAACCACGAACTCCATAGTTAAACATTTCAATATGCATTGAAGTGCTATAATTTATAGGACCACAGACCAAGGGAATTGGATTAAGCTGGAAAGCTGTTCTATTGACCAGCATCAATACAATGGGATGAATGTCCTCCTGTGCCACACATTTTCAATGCTGGCATGGAGAGATGGTGACATGTGAATATCACTTTGAGTAATCCAGAGGCCCAGACTTATGCATTTAACACAGTATCAAATAATGGATTTGTTATCAAAATAAAGCCCCTGGGATTAAAAGGGACTGTGGCAGAATGGATTTGCAATTGACCAAGGGATTGAAAGCAAAAGGGTATAAGTGAGTGGTGGCTATAATGAGTGAGTCATTACTAGGGCCAATGATCTTTGATCTATAATATTGACCTAGACTTGGGTAGGTAAGGTTTGCAGATGAACAGGATTGAGAAACACAGTAAGCAGTGAAAAGAAAAGGAAAACACATGGCAGGCAAGATATAATGCAAATAAATTTAAAGTGATGGATTTTGATGAGAAGAATAAGCAACAGCATAATAAACTTTTAAATAGTCTATCATGGGATGTGGTGTCGCTGGCAAGGGTAGCATTTATTATCCATTCTTAATTGCCCTTGACCTGAGCAGCTTGCTAGGCCATTTCAGGGGGTAGATAAGAGTCAATCACATGTAGGCCAGACCAGGTAAAGATGGCAGATTTCCTTCCCTAGAGGGCCTTAGAGAACCAGATGGACTTTTACCCAAGAAAATTTGTTTCATGAGATTAGCTTTCAATTTCAGGTTCATTAATTGAATTGAAATATCACCACTAGCTGTTGAGATTCAAACCTGTGCCCCCAGTGCAATCCCCTCAGGATTACTAGTTCAGTGATACTGCTGCTTTGCTACCATTGTCCCTACTCTGGTGACCACACTTTATGGAGGATATTACGGCCATAGAGAGGGGACAGAAGAGATTTACTGGAATGGTACAGGGATGAGGCAATTTGGTAATGTGGAGGCACTGGAGAAGCTGAGGGAGATTTAAGGGTGGAGTTCAAATTTTTCAATGTTTTGAGAGGAAGAAATTGTTTTGATCAGCAGAAGGCGGTATAGTGGCTCAATGGTTAGCGCTGCCTCCTCACAGCACCAGGGATCCGGGTTCGATTCCACCCTCGGGCAACAGTGCAAACTCCACACAGGCAATCTCCCTGTGTCTGTGTGGGTTTCCTCCCACAGTCCAAAGGTATGCAGGTTAGGTGGTTTGGCCATAGGAAATTGCACATAGTGTCTGGGGATGTGTAGGTTAGGTGGATTAGCCATGGGCAATGCAGGGTTACTGCAATAGGGTTGCAGGGGGGCAGGCGAGGATGATCTGGATGGGATGATCTTTGGATGGATACTGTGGACTCGATGGGCTGAATGGTCTGCTTCCACACTCTAGGGATTCTACGATGAAGGGTGTGTAACCAGAGGTGACATAAAGAAAGATTTTTTAATACATTTAGTTGTTGTAATCTAAATCACTGCATTAAGTGGAAACAATCCAATAATTAAATGCAGGGGAAGATACTGCAGGCCAGTGGGGAAAGAGCAAGCAAATGGCACTAAATGGATTGCTACCAAATCTGGCACAGATGCAGCAACAAAAAAAAATGACAACAGGCACTGGATGAATGGCCTCTTTCTGTGCTCTCTCATTCAATGAGAACATTCACCTATCCTCGTCCCTTGTACATTCAAATTCCTTCAGTCTCATCTATGTCTCCAACCTAATCTTCAATATCTAATAACGACTGTCTTAATCACTGACCCTGGAGGTAAATTCTACAACTTCAGCAACTGTCTCTGTGTGAAGAAAATCCTCCTGCTCTCGCTATTAAATCCCTAACATTTCACCTTGTGCAGTACTGAGCGAATGCTGCACTGTCTGATGTTGTGTCTTTCAAATGAGATATTAAACAGCCCCTGCTGCCCTCACAGGGGTATAAATGTCCCACTAGGATCTGTTTGAAGAGTAGGGATGTTGTCCCCAGTGTCCTGGTCAATATTTATCCCTTAATCAGTTAACTTGATCATTGCATCAGATACGTGAGGGTTTGCTGTGTGTATATTAACTCCCATATTTCCCACATTACAACAATGGGACACTTTGTATTTCACTTCGAGAGTGTGAAAAACGTGCTATTTGGTTTGAGCTTTTATTTTCTGTTGAGGCTTCAGTAATAATTTCTGGGCTGCAGTACTGAAATCCTTTGTTTGAATTTGTTTTAAATTGTAAGGCAGAGTGAAATGTTTACTAGGAGACTCAATCAATTATAAACAGACCATCAGCTAGCCTAGTTTACCGGAGTATCCTATACTTACGCATTATTGTGAATGAGTCATGTTGAAAACATTTTACAGGAAATATATACGGAGTTGTTAAATTGAATAAAGATGCCAGCTGGAGGTGATTGTGAAAAGGACTCAGCACATGGGAACAGAAAAGGAAAATCGGAGGCAGACAGATGGTTGGGGAGGGGGTAGGTTAGTGCTAGAATCACATGTAACTTGTTACAATTTAAATGGAAGTGCTCCCCAATAATGGTGCTGCAGTATTCCGCAAGTCATCTCAAAATGAATCCGATCCCAGTCAGACCACCAAAGTGATGAGTTTGCTTGATCAACAGCCATTCGAGCCAAACACAAATCACAGCAGGTTTCTCCTTCATCAGAAAGTAACACACTTAACTTTAACAAATGGCAGACAAAAGAGAGGATTACCTACCAGAACTTCAGGGGGCAGATGCTGGGGAAGGTGAAAGCTCTGAAGGTGGATAAGTCACCAGAATCAGATGGACTACACCCCAGAATGTGGAGGAGATAGCTGAGGAGATTGTGGAGGTGTTGGTGGTGATCTTTCAGGAATCACTGGAGTCAAGGAGGGCCCCAGAGGACTTGGAAAATGTCTAATGTAATACCCATGTTTAAGAAGGGAGCGAGGCAGTTGTTGGTAAAATTTGAAAATCCATTGTTAAGGATGAGATTGTGGGGTATTTGGAAGTGCATGGGGCTTCATCATGGGTAGATCATGCCTGACAAATCTGCTAGAACTCTTTGAGGAAGAATCGAGCAAGTTAGACCACATCCACTGGCTCATCTTTGTCTATTTGGATTTCAAGAAGACCTTTGACAAGATGCCGCACAGGAGGCTGTAAAAGAGCCCACGGTGTTAGGGGCAAGGATTGATAGAGGAATGGCTGACTGGCAGAAGACAGAGAGTGAGGATAAAGGGATCATTTTCAGGAGGCCAGCCGGCGACTAGTAGAGTCCTACAGGGGTTGGTGTTGGGACTACAGCTATTTATGTTATACATTAACGATCTGGACAAAGCAACTGAGGGCTGTGTTGCTAAGTTTACAGATAACACAAAGGTAGGCGGAGGGATAAGTAGTGTTGAGAAAGTGTGGGGGTTGCAGAAGAACTTGGACAAACTAGTGGCAAAGAAGTAGTAGATGGAATACAACGTGGGAAAGTGTGAGATTATGCATTATGGCAGGAAAAATAGAGGCATGAGCTATTTTCTAAATGGGGAAAGCCTTCAGAAATCTGAAACACAAAGGGACTTGGGAGTCCTAGTTCAGGATTTCCTTAAGGTTAACATGCAGGTTCAGTTGGCGTTCAGGAAAGCAAATGCAATGTTAGCATTTCTTTCAAGAGGGCTAGAATACAAAAGCAGTGCTGTACTGCTGAGGCTGTATCAGGCACTGGTCAGACTGCATTTGGAATATTGTGAGCTGTTTTGGGTCCTGTATTTAAGGAAGGATGTGGTGGCCTTGGAGGGGGACCAGAGGAGGTTTACAAAAGTGATCCTGGGGATGAACAGCTTGTCATATAAGGAGCAGTTGAGGACTCTGGTCTGTACTCGTTGGAGTTTAGAAGGATGATGAGAGATCTGATTGAAACTTACAGAATACTGAGAGGCCTGGATAGAGTGGACATGGAGAAGATATTTCCACTCATAGGAGAGACTAGGACCCTAGGAGAGAAAGGTTGACCCTTTAGAACTGAGATGAGGAAGAATCTCGACATCCAGAAGTTGGTGAATCTGTGGAACTCATTGCCACAGGGAGCTGTGGAGGCCAAGTCATTGAGTGAATTTAAGTCAGAGATATATAGGTTCTTGACTGGTAAGGGGAAATCAAATGTTACGGGTTGAAGGCAGAAGAATCAAATTGAGAAATGTTTCAGCCATGATCAAATGGCAGAGCAGAGTCGACATGTTGAATGGCCTAATTAACCCCCCCGTATCTTATGGTCTTATTACTCATCTATTATTATGCAACTAGTGGCCTTCAGAAATGCCAAATACACGCATTAAGACAGAGCTTGGGTTATGGGTGAGGTTGTTGACTTGTTCGCTGAGCTGGTTGGTTCTCGTTCAGATGTTTCGTCACCATGCTAGGTGACATCATCAGTGAGGCCTCCGATGAAGTAATGTTATTCTACTCTGCTTGGAATTTATGCTGTCTGAAACCATTCCCAAAACATGCAGAACCAACATGGTTTACAAAATACCATACAATGACTGCCACAAACATTACATCGGACAGACAGGAAGGAAACTAGCCATCAGAATACACGAACATCAGCTAGCAGCAAAACGTCATGATGAACTCTCCTTAATATTAGTACTCAGACAATGAAGGCCATCAGTTTAACTGGGACAAGGTAACCATAGTAGCCCAAGCCAAACATAGACACGCACGGGAATTCCTAGAGGCATGGTTCTCCACCCGTAATGCAATCAACAAACACGTAGAATTGGACCCCAAATACAAACCCATACAGATCAAAACCGGAAATGACACTACTCACCATATTGGACCAGACAGTATAAATTCCGAGAGGAATAGAACAACATCGCTTCATTGGAGGTCATTGGAGGTCTCACTGATGATGTTACCTAGCATGGTGATGAAATGTCTGAAGGAGAACGAAGCCAGCTCGACGAGCAAATCAACAATCTTTCCCCCTCACTGCTTCAAAAAGCAAACATTGCCTTGAGCAGCTCAATAAATGTGCAGCACCTGGTTTTCACTTGCAAAACACTCCTGTTGTTTCAGTTTATAATCCCAAAACATAAAAGTATGTGGTCTCTGTGTATCAGTTGAGATAAGTTGTGCCAGAAGCAGACACACTTTGACATGCACACAAATAGTTCCTGATGTACCACATGTGCGTGTGCGCGCACATCCTAACATAAGTGTATACACCAATACACGTGCACATAACCTGAGATGCACATGTCCATGCTCCGATACATCCTGACACATTCATCCACAAATACCCTGACATGTTCACATGATCCTGACACATGCACAGACTTAGACATAAACATGCTGACATATACAAGACCAAACAACATAGATTTGCCAGCACAAAAATAATTCTCAGAAATAAAATAAAGAACAGTGGATGTTGGAAATCTGAAACAAAAACAAATAGCTGGAGAAACTCAGCAGGTCTGACAGCATGTGTGGGAAGGAAGCACACTTCATGTTTCCAGCGTGTCAATGTTTCACTGACTCTCCAGTTCTGATGAAGAGTCACCAGGATCGCAACTCTGCTAACTGGAGCTCGTTAATTCTGCTTCCTTCCCATGGAAGCTACCAGACCTGCTGAGTTTTTCCAGCTTTTCATTTCCATTTCAAAAAGAATGTTCACCCTGATGCGTACACACCCATGCTCTCTGAGTCCCTCTTTCTCTCTGAAGGAAATTCTTTCTTTCTGTCTTCTGTCACAGCTATGTTTGGCTACATAATCCAACTTTAATGGGTAAAGTGCCACGCTTTAGGGGAGGCAATGGCCTAGTAGTATTAACACTAGACTGTTAATTCAGAGACCCAGATGACGTTCTGGGAACCTGGGTTCTTATCTCACCACAACAGATGGTGGAATTTGAATTGAATAAATATCTGGAACTAAGAACCTAATGATGACTGTGAATCCATTGTCCATTGTCAGGAAAACCTATCTCGTTCACTAATGTCCTTTAGGGAAGGAAATTGCCATCCTTACCTGGTCTGGCCTACATGTGACTCCAGAACCACAGCAATGTGGTTAACTCTGAATTGCCCTGTGGGCAATTAGGGATGGGCAATAAATGCTGCTTAGCCAGCAACACCCTCATCCCGTTAATAAATAAAGAAAGAAAAAATAAAGGAAGAAACATCCCTTCCTTTACCCCACCTCCTCTCCAAACTATGCTCCAAGTTTACCCTTGGCAGGTGGACAAGGGTCACATTGCATGAGAACAGTTCAGTCTTATATGTGATTCACCCTGAGGTTGAATAGCTGAGAGTCAGTCACTGCCTGAAGAATGGTCACATCTGGGAGGGACATTGCTCTGACGTGGCTGAGGGGAGAGTGGGATGTGCAGTGGTGTGAATGGAGGTTTTGACTTTACATTGTCTGGGTCCCAGTGATGGTCAGATGGACTTTGCTGATCTGAGTTGCAGTGTTTGGTATTTCCAGCATGGCTGTCACCCTAGAGATCAGGCTCATCATTAAACCACTCAAGTTACTTTTTGGAGATTTCCTGCTTGACAGGTCACCGTGACAATGTGAAATGTTTTCACTGCGATGGAGAACTCCGAAACTGGGAGCTGGGAGATGATCCATGGATGGAGCATGCAAAATGGTTTCCACGGTACTGACTACCAACAGCTTAACAGCGTGCGGCAGATTGTGTTTTTGAGGTGTGACACTCCGTGTTACCTGTGTTCTGACTGTTTGTGTTTTGGGCCTAAGAGGCCACGGGATGTTTGAGGCCTGTGTGAGAGGTCTAGTTGATGGGGTGGGACCTGTACAAGACCATTAACTGAAGCTGAAGCCCATGGAACTGAAGGCAAATCGTTGACATGATTTAAAGATTCATTGAGCAGTGGAGATGGGTATTCTAATTGGCAGTTCTGAGGAAGGGTCACTGGACCCGAAATGTTAACTCTGTTTTCTCCTTCACAGATGCTGCCAGACCTGCTGAGCTTTGCCAGCAATTTTGTTTTTATTCTAATTGGCAGGATGTGATGAGAGGTGACTCACCGGAATCTGTTCGGCCTCAACAATTCACCACAATAAAATGCTGGCCTTTATACCTCAAACTAGAACAGAAGAGGGTCATATTTCCGCTGTCCTAAGGCTTGTAGACCACATTGGAGTATTGTGAGCAGAATGGAAACATAAAGACAGAAGGAAATTGGGTGAATTGGAGTCAAATCAGACACAGAAAGAGAAATAAAAGTGTCTTATAGTTTTCCCCTCTCCCCATGATGTCTTGGGCACTTATTCAGGTGGGATGGTGATGACAGTGCATTCTGCCACGGAGTGGGGTCCACTATTCAAAAGCACTGATCCATGCACCTGTAATTGGGAAGAAGCCCCCCTTTACCCCTGCCCTGAAACCCCTGATATTGGTGCTGCTGAGAAAAAGAGCTGCCAGCCAATCAGGACTTTTTGCCTGTGGTGTCCGGATCCCGGGATCGTCCACCCGTGACCTGACAAGTGTCTGGCTCATAATTCAGCTGTTTTCCCCAAAAGTCTAATGTGGGTCTCTCAATGGCTCTGCAACTAGTAGCCAAGACCCCATCACCTCCATAAAATTCCTCCCAATGAGAGGGAAAGAAAGATTGGATTAAGGGAGAGAAGCAAGAAAGAAAAGTTAAGTAAAGAAAGAATCTTATTCACATTTGTGGCAGACATTGCCTATCTGGAACACATAGATCATTCCCTTTCTGGGTTGACCACTAAAGTAAGAACAGAAATCTCAGTTTAAGTTACTTACACTGTTAATCATCAGCTCTAACTTACTGCAACAAGTTTAATGGCAAAATTATGCACAAAACGTGATATTGTGAAGGATTGATGGGCATATCTTATTTTGGAGAGTAAAAGTAGATCAAAACAAACCACCAGACTGTGTGAGAGAGAATCACAGCTCTCTAAATATCACTTCATTACACAAGATGTTGGACAATTGATTGTTTGAAAGTTCTGTTAAACTCACTTTAATCTTGGCAGCACACTTTGCACCAATAATTCTCTTCAGCGCATTGGATCTCCAGAGGCCTCTGCTCCCCTTTAGAGGGATGGGTCAGCAGAGCACCTAGCACTGAGACACCTAGCAGGCTTTGTAATCCATCCCAACATTAGGATTGGAGACAGATTCTAACCTAGAAACCTGGCTGTGCAGCTCTCGATGTTGAATAGCCTGATGCAGCTGCACACTCACTGTGAGCCAAAACTCCACGCTTAAGACGTGGAGTGAAAGCCAAAGAAATCACTGTGCCGTTTTCACATGGGAAGCAGCCATTGGAATCTTTGCATGTGGGAGTAATGTTTTTCTGTGATTCTCCCGGACAAGATCAGATTGCCCTGCTGTTAGAATCTATACAGTATGGAAGTAGGGGGCCATTCGGCACATCGAGTCTACACTGACCCTCCAAAGATCAGCCATTCCAGTCCCAACCCCTAACCCTATCCCTGTAAACGTGCATTTCCCACGGTTAATCCCTGGACACTATGGGCAATATAGCATCGCCAATCCACACTAACTTGCACACCTTTGGATTTTGGGAGGAAACCCACACAGACAACATGCAAACTCCACACTGAGAGTCGCCTGAGGGTGGAGTCAAACCTGGGTCCCTGGCTGTGTGAGGCAACAGTGCTAACCACTGAGGCACCGTACTGCCTGGGCCTTTCCCCCTGTTCCTTCTCTCCTTTCAATAGGTTGTCTGGGGGATGCAGGTTAAGCCTCAAATGTCCTACCTTGTTCATAAAATTTATAAAGATACATTCTACTTCATAGTTGAGATTACATAAAGCACAAAATGTTTCAGAATTTTCTGTTAATCACTACATTTACAATTAATTTGTGAAATTCATTGTACAGTGGTGAGGAGGAACTTTAAGACTGTGACTTTTACAGTGACTGCCCTATAAACGTCAGCGTGTCCCACAGCACATGGCCCCCGAATCTCGGAATGTGGCAGTCTACATTCACGATGAGATGTCAATCGACCTGCATAAGTGACCGGTGGATCTGGCCTTGATCAATGTGGAAGAGAAGCTGGACCAGGTGCCGAATATCAGCTATGTCATGGTGCAGATCGACATCTTGGGCACAGTGCCAACCCTGACACAGGTGCAGATCTGTCCAGTTGGCATTAACTGGTCTGGGCTGACCCAGGCGCTCCAAGCAGGAAGATGCTGAAGTTTAGTGAGTGGCTCCACTTTATTTTAACCAACTTGAAAGGAATTGACATTAACAGTGGAGCGAATCAGGCCCCCCTAGAGGAACTGGACTTCGCTGCTATGTCTGGCTGGTTTATGAACAACCTCGGATGCTGACGTGATGAGCAGCATTTCACCAACTGTTCAGGTGATAAACGTGGAATGTTCAAAACTAGCTTTCTGCAAGAAGTACAATTTGGGTCCCCAGACACTGCAGCATGCTACCAGGTTAACTACATACTTAAAACTGTGTGAACAGTTGTTGAGGAAGTAATAAGGTGTAAATTCCTAATGATACTTTGTTTCTCCTTGACAAAATAAAAACCACACTAACCTATCGAAGGCTCCTTGAGCTGGAAAAGCAATGTGTATTGGGCAGACCCAAGACCACCTTTCACCAGATTAATGGGTCACCAGGTACAGTTAATGTGTGTCTCTGTGTCACGGGAGCTGCCTGCGATGAAACTTATAAAGCAATCCTGCCCTTCCTCCATAACGGCACATTCCACAAGGACATGGATCACTTGATTCTTCCCCCATCACAGCCAACCCAACGGCCACGTGCAGGTGGTAGTGCGGATCTCTGGACACGTAGGAAGGATCGAAAAGTGAGGGCCCTTCTCACCACCAGCCAAACCAGGTGTTGCTGCTTGTTTCAAAGTTCCAGTGAAATGGTGTCGTCCCAAATACCTTTGACCATCCACCCCCTCGGAATCATGTGACAGAAACCCCATCTCCGCTTCCTACAGGTGGTCACTGCCTCATTGACTTGTGGTTGAAGGGGTTTCAGTGTTTTTTTGTAAACTCAGTGAGTATCCGCATTGGTCAACTTCAGGAGCCACAATGGAATGAAATAAAATGAAGGTCCAAATATCCATTACTGACTTCACTATAGTAAAGAAAATGCAATTTATGGAAACCCATTTCAGACTTTAAAAAACACCTCAATTAATCCCTTTACAAAACAAATATTTATGTCATCATCTCACGTCAAAGATGCTAAACCTTGAAGAATCTCTTTGAGCAGTCAACTAAACTGAATGTACAGCCCCTTTGCTTGAGGTCCATGCTATAATAAAGAAATGTTTGAATTCAGCATGGGGTGTGATTGGCTGCCCTTGGCTTTCCCTTGTGTATAGTTCACCCCCTTCACACCCCCTCCCCCGGTGAAAACGGGATCTCTCAGAAATTGGAGTAGACTTTCCAAATCTGGGGCCTGTCTGTCACTTTGAAAGGCTCCTTGATTGTGAAAATCCAGTGCTTGGTGCTCTGGATTTAATGTATTAAGTGGATTTGGTGTATTAAGACTCTGCACTCAGAGCACGCAAAGGTAGCCTCAGTTGGGCACTTTCCCACCCAAGCAACTCCCCAACTCCACCCCACCAACCCCCCCCCCCCCACCGCCGACATCTCTCTTGAAATTTGTACATCATCTTCATTTTCAATCTCCAGGGAAAGCGAAAAGTGACCACCCCAGTGCGGGAATAATGTGTGGACCAGACTGTGCCAAATCCAGCCACACTGAGAGACCCAAGGATCAGGTTCTTAGCTGCAGTGCCACTTTCACTTACCCATGGCCACGCACTGCTTCCAGTTCTTCATGCGTGACCAATCCTCAACATCTTCAGTATTCTAGCCTGAGGATGAATTGGATCAGTTGGCCAGATTCCTGAAGAATGTGGTCTCACATTTGCCTCGAGTTACTGTGGCGCCTGAGACTGAGACACTTCCCAGCCCGTGCTCTGACACTGAGCTCAAAGAGAAGACCGTGATGGTGTTCATGTCCAGAGAGACTTTGTACTGAATGCCTCCACTACCTGGGCTTGATACGCCACTTTGTGCCCACATGCTGCATGAACAAGACAGCAGGTTGAGGACAGCCCTGCCTAACTCCAGATGATTGGAAACCCTTTGACTGGAACTGCATTTCTGATGTTTGTCTGGAGCAGTTGGATCCAATTGCTTTCTTCAAATTCCATTTTGGAGAAGGCCTCATCCCGTGGTGTGCAGTGTTCTGGGAAAATCTCTCTCCTGGCCCCAGCCGATGAGGTAGTTGTCCCTCCCTTTATCTCACACATATCCCCATGTCTCAGGGATATGATCGTCTATGAGAGCTCTTCCTGTCAGACACAGTACTGACCTGGACATTGTGGGACATTGACTACCTGCCTGCAGTGATCCAGCGGTGAGCTAAAGTGGAGCCAAATGGCATGATGTGTTTTTTTCTTTCCTCAACTACATTTCACAAACGATGCTCAGGGCTACATGTTAGTGAGTCCCAGCTGAATGTATTAATGATCCGATGACAGGACTTTCCAGCTTTGGCCAGGACGTCCCTAGTTTGGACTAAATGTCCCCCTCTCCTGACAAATTGCTCAAAATAGCTCACGGGACCCTGTCTGCAGCTTTTTCCCTGTTCGTGTGAAGCATTTTGGAGATTCCTGACAGCCTTCCGTCTTTTCACACAGCATCGGGATCTTCCTCTCCTCCTTGTTCCAGTTACTATCCAACAACACCCTGCAATTACTGCTTACACCTGCAATTCGAGCCAACATTGAGCTGCTGCACTGGGACACTCCCACACACATAGGGAACCTCTCACTGGCACCCAGAGCAGCTACCTGAGCCAGTTGTGTCTCTGTGTAGGACACCTTCCTCCTGCCCACATCAGTTCCTCCTTCAATGTTCCCAATTGGCCATTCCAGTTGAATGTTCTACTCAGCCATTGGAGGATTCTATGGAGAAGGGCAGTGGGGGTGAATAAGAGGGCAGTTGTGGAGGGGTGGGGGGAGAATAGGAGGGCATCAGGGGAGGGAAATGAGCAGGGAAGAAAGTGAGAGGGCAGTGGGACAGAAGCAATGGGAGGGAAGGGGTGGGGGTGAAAGGGAAACTTGCAGGGGGGAAGAGAGTCAGAGGGCAGGGAGGGAGAACATGGGGGGGGTGAGGAATGGAGGCAGGGCAGAGGAGGAGACTAGCAGGGAAGACAGTTGGACAGGAACAGCGGGAGTGGTGGCTCAGTGGTTAGCACTACTGCCTCACAGTGCCAGGGACCTAGGTTCAATTCTGCCCTTGGGTGACTGTCTATGTGGAGTTTGCACATACTCCCTGTGTCTGTGTGGGTTTCCTCTGGGTGCTCCAGTTTCCTCCCATAGTCCAAGGCTAGGGTGGATTAGCCATGGGAAATTACCCATAGTGTCCAGGGATGTGCATGCCAGGTGGATTGGCCGTGGGAAATTGCCCCTATGTGTCCAAGGGTGTGTAGGCTGGGTGGATTGACCATGGGAAATACAGGGTTACAAGGATGGGGCAGGGGCGTGGGTCTGGGTGGGTTGATTTTCGGAGGGTTGGTGTGAACTCAGCGGGCCGAATGGCCTGCTCCCATGCTGTAGGGATTCTATGATGATGGAGGGGGGAGAGAGGGAGACTAGCATGAGAAAGAATGTGAGGGCATGCGGTTGAATGTAGGAGAAGATAGGGCAGTGAGGTAGACCCTAAGGTTATGGGGGTAAATGACAATGAGCAGCAGGAAGCCAGGGTGATTCATCACGCTCTGGGTGATGAAAAGTGATTGCCAGTGAGTGACCATGAGCTGCTTTTGATGAGGGTGTCAGACAACAGCGAGCAATAAAGCACCAGCTGGCCTGAGGAAGGGTTAGAGTGACCTTAGCACATTTAACCAAACTTCTTGTTGAAAGACCATAAATTTACCTGCTCGTGGTCCTGGAGTTATCCAAATCTCCCACATTCACCAGTTTAAAATCCAGCTCCTGGCTGGTAACATTTATTGTTAGAAGCCTGGGTGGAAATGAAAGGAAACAAATGTTTTAAATGGAGATCAGTCTTGTTTTGCACATTGAACAGTTAGAGCAGGATAGAGGATTTTCTGATCTTGTGACAAACAAAGCCTTGGTTCAGTTCTTCTTAAGAAAGCAAGGCTGAAATGAAGAAAGAAACAGTGTGTTATAACTGTCTTCAATATTTGGGAGTCTTTAGGAGTTGCCAACTCAGGCTGGATGTTGTCCACAAGATGTCATAACGTGATGCCAAAACCAGGAACAAGAGTAGACCATTCTGCCCCTCGGGCCATCTACTCACACCTTCAACTGCCCTGCTCTGAGACCCTTGCCCTAAATCACTCAACAGTCATTGTGTCCTGATTTTAACTAATGAAAATGTAGCCATCCTGATGAATGATGCCTGGGGATGTATATGTTAATGGGGTCCAATTAAGTAGCCTCATTGATATATCAAGCAGAGTCTTATTAATATGGTCTGTTAATAAGCCCTTGCTCAATATGTCATTGAGGCTTGGCTGTTATAACAGACTGGGCTTATTTTAGCATCTCCTGGTTTTACAAGCTTCCAGAAGCCCGCCACATACAGGTTTAAAATCTCCCTCAAACTCCCTTCAAACTGTACATGTGGGAGAGTGCTAAAGTTTGTCATTATCTACCTCCAGCTGAGGGTATTGTACATTGGGAGTGGTTGCAGATCTTTGCTAATTCTGCCCCCGTCCTGTCTCCCAGCGACAAGAAGAGGATATGGGCTTTGGTCTGTTTTTTCTGTCCTGGGGCAGTAGTGGGGGGCTGTTACAATGACCCTGTCTCTGATAACCTCATGGAGAGGGGTATGAAGGGGAGAATCAGCCCAAGTAATTACTCCTGATCACTACTCGGTCATTTTAGGCACTGGCTGAGGACAGGGTCTGTGATGTTCAGTTCACTCTCCTGGCTGAGCCTATTCGATAATATCACTGTGAAGATGAATCACTCGACAATATTTTGGAGAGTTACTGAATACTGTCATCATGTCAGGAGTTTGCCTGATCAGGAGAGATGGGGAAGAAAGTGGCTGTGGTTGAGAGGGGTGAATATTAGATGATATTTGATGGATGTTTTTGTAACTAATTTTAATGCCCTGTTTTGCCAGATGCGAATACTTAATCCAGATGAAAGGGAGAGATTATGTGAACAGGATTCAGGAACTACATTCCCACATCACCGAGTCAGCGGTGGGTTCAGTAAAGCTGGTGCTACCTTTAACATTGTGTCTGCATTGGCGCGCACGCGTGTGTGTGTGCATGCGCGTGTGACAGAGAGAGAGAGCACATGCACCTATATATTTATATATACAGGTGTTTGGTGGAACAGCACTTGACTGCTGCAGGAAAAGACACATTTTGCAAAGCTTTCCATCTTGTATGTGTCAGGTGAATTTACAAGAAATACCAACTTAAGGAGAAATCTAAAATGTATACTGTATGAAAGGAGAGTGCTGAGTGATTGGCAAGTGAGCCAGACAGAGGTGTTACATGTGAGAAAGCACCAGTTAAAGATGATTGACAGCTAACTGCCATACATTGTTTACATTTTAACCTGGCAATTTGACGCTGATTGATCAATACATTGCCCTGAGAAATGAGCTAGTGAGGAGCTGTCACTGATTTGGTTGAGTTGAGAGGGACAAGGTGCATGTACACACTCCAGCTGTCCCAATAAGTACAAGATGGAAAGCTTTGACCAAATGTGTATTTTTAACCAATGCTCGATACTTATGTGTGTGTATGTCAGTGTGAGAGAGGGAGAGAAAATGTGTGTGTGTGTGAGTGTGCCTGAGTGTGAGAATGAGTGTGTGAACGTGAGTGAGAGCACATGTGAGAGAGTGAGTGTGCACGTGGGAGACAGTATGTGTATGTGTGCGTAGGAATGTCTGTGTAGGAGAGAGAGAGAGAGTGTGTGTATGTGTAGGAGAGTGTGTGTGTGCGCGTATGTGTAGGAGAGTATGTGTGTATGTGTGTGTGCGCATGTGTAGGAATGTGTGTGTGAGGGTGTGTGTAGGAGAATGTGTACAGGAGTGGGTGTGTGTGTGTATAATTTTGGAAAAAATGAGGTTATGTACTTTGGTTGGAAGAGTTGGGAATCTAAGTGTTATTTAAATGGAGAAAGACTACAGAAAGCTGTAGCACAGAGGGATTTGTGAGTCCTTGTGCATGAACTACATAAAATAGCATCAATGTTTTGCAGGTAATAGGGAAGCTAAATGGAATGTTGGCCTTTATTTCAAAGGGAATGGAGTATAGAAGTAGGGAGGTTTTGTTAAAACTATACAAGGCATTAGTCAAGCCATAGCCGGAATAATTGTGAACAGTTTTAGCTCCCTTATCTAAAGTGGCATTGGAGGGGAGATGATGGCCTAATGGTATTGTCACTGGACTGTTAACCCAGAGATCCAGATAGCATTCTGGGGACCTGGGTGTGAATTTGGCTGATGGTGGAATTGGAATTCAATAAATATTTGGAATTACGAATCTAATGATGATCATGAACCCATTGCTGATTGTCAGGAAAAAACCATCTGGTTCACTGATGTCCTTTAGGGAAAGAAACTGTCATACCTTACCTGGTCTGGCCTGCATGTGACTCCAGACCCATAGCAATGTGGTTGACTCTTAACTGCCCTCTGGGCAATTAGGGATGGGTAATAAATGCTGCCTAGCCAGCGATGCCCTCATCCCGTTAATGAATAAAGAAATAAAAAGTGTAGTTCAGAGAAGGTTCACTCAGCTGATTCCAGGAACGGAGGGATCGTTTTATGAGGAGATGGTTACTAGGTTAGGCCTGTACTCATCGGAATTTGGAAGTATATGTCATAACCTTATTAAAACATAAACGTTTCTTAGAAGACTTGGCAGACTTGAGGTGTACAAAATGGTCAGAGATATAGATAGAGTGGACAGCCAGAGACTTTTTCCTCAGGTGGAGGTAGCTATTATGAAGGGGCATAGTTTTAAAGTGAGTGGAGGTAGATACAGGGGAGACGTCAGAGGTAGGTTCTTTACTCAGAGAGTGGTAGAGGTGTGGAATGCATTGCCAGAGAGGGTAGTGGAGTCGGCCTCATTAGGGGCATTTAAGCGGCTATTAGATAGGCATATGAATGATAGTATAAGGTGGGAGTAGAGGTTAGATAGACCTTAGGTTTAGGGTAAAAGTTCGGCACAACATCTTGGGCCCAAGGGATTGTACTGTGCTGTACTGTTCTATGTTCTATGTTCTATGTTCTATGTTTTGTGTTCTATGTTCTATATTCTATGTTCTAGTAGATGTGGAGAGGTTGTTTCCCCTTGTGAGAGAGTCTAGGACCAGAGAGCATCATCCCAGAATAAAGGGTCTCTAGAAATGAAGCATTTTCTCTCAGATGGTAGTGAATCTGCGGATTTCTGCAGAGGGCTGTTTGAGTATATTCAAGGTGGAGGTTGACAGAGTTTTCATCTGTGAGGAAATCAAGGGTTAAAGGCAGGAAAGTGGAGTTGAGAATGATCAGATCAGCCATGATTTCATTTTTGGCGCCGCAGACTCGATGGGCTGAATGGCTTAAGTCTGCTCCTATGTTCATAGTCTCTCTCTTCCCAACTTATCCTGAGTTTGTGTGAACGTGTATGTGTCAGGTGTGGTGGTGGGGGGTAGGGGTGGGTGTGGCGGGAGACTGTCGAGGTAAATGTCTGTGATAACAAGGTGTGGAGCTGGGTGAACACAGCAGGCCAAGCAGCATCAGAGCAGCAGGAAAGCTGATGTTTGGGTCTAGATCCTTCTGTGTTGTTGAAGCCGTTATGTCAGTGTGTGGGTGTGTGTGTGTGTGAGTGAGAGAGACTGTGTGTGTGTGTGCGTGTGTGCGCGAGAGAAAGACTATGTCTGTGTGTGTGTGTGTGTGTGTGTGTGAGAGAGAGAGAGAGAGAGGGATTGGGTGTGTGTGTGTATGTGTATGTGAGAGAGACTGGGTGTCTGGGTGTGTGTGTGTGAGAGTGAGGGACTGGGTGTGTGTGTGTGAGAGAGAGAGACTAGATGTGTGTGTGTGTGAGAGAGAGAGACTGTGTCTGTGTGTGTGTGTGTGTGTGTGTGTGTGTACTTGTGTGTGTGCATGAGTGAGAGAGAGACTGGGTCTGTGTGGGTGTGTGTGTGTATGAGAGACTGGGTGTGTGTGTGTGTGAGAGAGAGAGAGAGAGACTGGGTGTGTGCGTGTGTGTGTGGGAGAGAGAGACTGGTTCTGTGTGGGTGTATGTGTTGGGGTGTTGGTAGGTGTATGAGGTTTTTAATTGTTGTATTTTCTTGTAGTTTCAGGTCGGATCGCAGCCACAAACATCTCCCAGACAAGGTGCGTGTTTTCAACTACAGTCTCTCAGCTCAGTTCATCAGAAATCAGTTGTGAGAAGCCAATAAGAATAGTTCTTTCTCAAAGAGGGGTCCTGTAGGAGATTGTATTTGTCAGTATCATGTGGAAATCTTACAGAATCAACAGGTGTGTTTACATCTTTAACTCATTTTCTGTATATTTCTGTTCCTTCCAGTATCAGTAAAGTTCTCATGTTTCTCATCACAGTGATCAGCCTCAGAGATGGGTTTAACTTTAAGCTTCTTTCCCTTTATTTCCCTTTAACTTTAGCCCATGTGTCAGCTCATCTCTGCCCTTCTTGAGTTCAAGCTGATGTTCTGGACATTCTTAGAAATGCTACAATTCTTACCAATGCTCATAACCTCAACCACTGAGAGTTCTCAGATATTCCACCTTGACACCACTTTGTCGGACCTAGATCCAGGAGTCACAGGTTAACCAAAAAGGAAGTCAGGAGTCACAGATAATTTTAAAGTAATTTATTAAGTTATTCACTAAAAGGGAACTGGCAATTTAAGAGATG